CCTAAGCCCAGGAGTTGGAGGTTGCTGTGAGCTGTGTGATGCCATGGCACTCTACCGAGGGTGATAAAGTGAAACTCTGTCTCTACAAAAAAAAAATGCTCACCTAAGGCATTTGTAAGATTAAAAGATAAGAAGGTGCATCACTGTTTATTTTTCTTCCTTCTAGAAAGGATCTTGTTCGAGTAGAAGCCACAATCATTGAAAAGACAGAATCATGGCCAAGAATCAACATGAAATTTAGGAAAAGAAAAAACTTCAGAAGAAAAAAAAGTAAGTTAGAGAAAGCACAGCTGGAAGTGTGCCCTGGGGTACAGGTGTGCAGGGTACATCCAGGTCAGAGGGCAAGGCGCGGGTGGGGCTGAGGACAGGGAGCCCTAGCAGGACTCAGTCCTGGCCACTCCCCATGGGACCTCACTCTCCTTGACTGGCCACACGTGACCTGCATTATTTCAACCCATGACACCTGGCACTGCCCCCAAAGCAGCAGGTAATCCACAAGCAGGTCAGGTGCCACCCTTGCAGAAACCTCCACTAAAAACCATCCCATGATGGGGGCTCCTCAAGGACAGGACCCCACAGGGCCACACACACAAGTGGATAGCTGCAGCCTCTTGTGTCACAGTGGTTCGTTATAGCAGCAGTTGCTGCCATAAACTACCAGTAGTGGTGTAACTAAGTACCCCTGGAACGGTAGCATCTGCTGTCACCTTGGAATCAGTTTGGTAGGAGAACCTCTCCTATAGATTCTGATACTTCCAGGTAGCCTCAAGGTAAGGCAGGTGGGCCGTCCACCCCACATAGTCAGAAGTCACAGTGGAATCGTGGGTGGGAGAAAGGAGATGCCGGTGCAGGGCTCTCCAGGCCACAAGACCTCTGGTGTTCCAGCCTCTATAAACGCTGATGGAGCAAAGAAGGCCATCAGCACACACCATGAAACCAACACGGCTGTGTGGGGCATGGCACATAGGCCTGGGGAAGCCTGGGGCCAAGGCAAAGCCTGCATAGCAGAGCAGGCAACTTCGGGAGCCCTCACTGTAGCTGTGAGCAGGGTTCAGACTCGGTGGTCAAGCCTGCAGCGACATCTTCTCTATTCCAGTCATTGTGACCCCGCAGACCATCCTCCGGATAAATACCATCGAGGTTGCTCCGTGTTTGTCATGATCACTCCGCTAGTATTTACAGAAGCAGAAAAATAAACACTTTTTCCAAGGACACTGGGTTTCTGTGTTGTGATTTTAAGAGCCATACATATCTGTTTTAAATTGTTTTAACTTAAGCCCCAGGTCCTTGAGCAGCTGTGCCTGTGGTCCCAGCTACTTGGGAGGAGGAGGCAGGAGACTCACTTGAGCCCAGGAGTTGGAGGTTGCTGTGAGCAGTGAAGCCATGGCACTCTACCCAGGTGGACAGCTTGAGGCTCTGTCTCAAAAATAAATAAATAAATAAAAATAAAAAGGAAGGACATTTTGGCGCTTGCTACAACACAGGTGCACCTGGAGGACACTGTGTGGAGTGAAAGTGTTCATGTCCCAACTCCATCTTGCTGGGGGCTTTCAACACTCCCCCTTTAAGACAGGAAGTTCAGCTGAAAGAGTCCAGTAATAACTGCAAAACCCCAGCTTCCCATTTTGAGGACCCCCCTTACCAGGTGTTGGCACTTGTCAAATTCAGCTTGCATTAAGGACTCCCCCTCTCCTACCAAAAGCCCCTTATAAAAGGTTTCCACCCCTGCTTCTAGGAGTCCAGAGACTTTGAGACGTGACCCTGCTCTCTGCCCAGCAGATCAATGAAGGACCCTTGTTTAATTTGGACTCAGCGTGCTGGCATTTCTCTATTCCACGCCCTTCGGGTATAACAAAGCCCATATCAAAAACACAAGTATCGCTGGGTGAGGTGGCTCACACCTGTAATCCCAGTACTTGGGAGGCCAAGGCAGGTAGATTGCCCTGAGCTCACAAGTTCAAGATTAGCCTGAGCAAGAGCAAGACCCTGTCTCAAAAAAAAATAGCCAAGCATTGTGATGGGCACCCATAGTCCCAGCTACTTGGGAGGCTGAGGCAAGAGGATCATTTGAACCCAAGAGTTTGAGGTTGCTAAGACACTACGGTACTCTACCAAGGGTGACAAAGTGAGACTCTGTTTTAAAAAAACACACACAGGGCTTGGTGCCTATAGCTCAAGTGGTTAGGGCGCCAGCCACATACACCAGAGCTGATGGGTTCAAATCCAGCCCAGGCCTGCCAAACAACAATGACAACTACAATCAAAAAAATAGCCGGCTCAGCACCTGTGGCTCAAGTGGCTAAGGTGCCATCACATACACCTGAGGTGGCAGGTTCGAATCCAGCCCAGGCCTGCCAAACAACAATGATGGCTGCAACCAAAAAAATAGGCAGGCGTTGTGGCAGGCACCTGTGGTCCCAGCTACTTGGGAGGAGGAGGCAGGAGACTCACTTGAGCCCAGGAGTTGGAGGTTGCTATGAGCTGTAATGCCACGGCACTCTACCCAGGGGGACAGCTTGAGGCTCTATCTCAAAAAAAAAAAAATAGCCAAGCATTGTGGTGGGTGCCTGTAGTCCCAGCTACTTGAGAGGCTGAGGCAAGAGAATCTCTTAACCCTAAGAGTTGGAGGTTGCTGTGAGCTGTGACACCACAGCACTCTATCCTGAGTGACGGCTTGAGACTGCCAAAAAAACAAACACGAAGTATTTCTTTTTTTTTTCTACCCACTATGTCACCCTGGGTAGAGAGCCATGGCATCACAGCTCACAGCGACCTCAAACTCTTGGGCTCAAGGGATTCTCTTGCCTCAGCCTCCTGAGTAGCTGGGACCACAGGCACCCACCACAATGCCCGGCCAGTTTTGGGTTGCATTTGTTATAGTTGCTTAGCAGGCCTGGGCCAGGCTCGAACTTGCCACCTTCAGGGTATGTGGCTGGCGCCCTACTCACTGAGCTACAGGCACAGAGCCAAAAAAAAAAAAAAAAGAACACAAGTATTGCTGTGATTCCACATATATCATGTCCTCAGGGTAGTTAAGTTCATACAGCCAGAAAGTAGAAAAGTGCCAGGACCTGGAGGAGGTGGAATAGGGAGTTAGTGTATAAAGGGGACAGAGCTTTACTTTTGCAACATGAAAAATGTTCTGAAGGTGGATGATGGCAGTGGTTGCACAACAATGTAATTAACACCACTGAGCTGTACACTTAAAATGGTTAAGGCTGGGCCCAGTGGCTCATGCCTGTAATCCTAGCTACTTAGGAAGCCAAGACAAGGATATCGCTTAAACCCAGGAGTTCAAGACCAGCCTAGGCGACATAGTAGGACCAGGACCCTGTCTCTACAAAAAATAAGAAAACTTAGCTGTGCATCATGGCAAGTGCCTATAGTCCCAGGTACTTTGGAGACAGGCAGGAGAATAACTTGAGCCCAGGAGTTTGAGGCCGCGGTGAGCTGTGATAGCACCGCTGCACTACAACCTAAGCAATGGAATGTGATCCTGTCTCAAAAAATAATAATAAAGAGGGACTGTACCTAACAAATGCAAACATTGTGACCTAATTCATTGTACCCTCAAATTAACCTGAAACAAGAATAGAAAGAATGATAGAAAAAAAAAACATGCAATTACATGCACGTTCTAATTTATCCTATAGAACAAAGAATAAAACAACTGTTTGGTTTACAAAATCATAAAGTAAAATAGGTAAAATTTTTGTGTATTTTACTAACAGCGTTTTTTAGGGGACAATGTGAACAAGTTGTATTACTTGACTGAAAGAAAAGCAGCAGAGTCCACATCACTACAGAGCATAAATGTCACTCCCAGACTGCACAGGTGACCAGACACCTGCTTGGGGCACTGCTCAGGGAGGCAGGAGGCAAGAGGCAAGAGGCCCCAGCCACCCCATGTGTCTGCGTCCTGGCTGGCTAGTGGCTCTCTGCTCCCTTTCTTGCAGGACAGGACCACTTTGCTGCTCAGTTAGGGGCTATGGGCTTCGCCTAGACTCACCTGCTTCCTCCAGGGGCCACCAGCCCCAGACAGTACCCATCCTGACCTTGCTTGGGTACCAAAGCTCTGTGGCCATCCTCACCCAAGTACTGTCCAGCTGCTCTGGCCCCAGGTTGCTCCTCTGACTGCAGAGCTTAGCCCTCACTCATGGTGCCAAGGGTGGCCCAGAACCTGAGGCCGCTGCCACCCTAACACCTCCCAGCCACGGGGAGCGGGTAAGGCATGGAAGAAGAGCATAACAGGGAACAAGACTGGACACAGGGCCCCCAGTGGCGAGCACGCGGGCCACCTGCAGCACTAACCAGCTGCGTGTGCTGAATGTCTCCACTGCGATGATGCCGACAAGAGCAAAGGGTGAAGGAATCAGAGCCGCGCCTGCTGGGTGCTTAGAGCTCAGCAAACGCAGCTGTCACTGTCGTTTTGTTAGATATGACAGAATCAGGTCATACCCACCCAAATAAACCTGCTGTACCAGGGTGGGACTGACCCACCCCAGCAGGCTTAGGTTCATGATCCGCCCAGGAAGGGTCAGACTCATGTCCCTCCCAGGAAATAGGAATGCCAACAATTGCTGCCCCCCCTGACCCTTTAAATCCCATACATCCTAACCCAGGTGTGGAAGTCCCTTTCTTTTTATTTTTTTGAGACAGTCTTACTTTGTCACCCTTGGTAGAGTGCTGTCGTGTCACAGCTCACGGCAACCTTAAACTCTTGGGCTTAAATGATTCTCTTGCCTCAGCCTCCTGAGTAGCTGAGACTACAGGTGCCTACCACAACACCTGGCTATTTTTTGGTTGCAGTTCGGCTGGGGCCATGTTTGAACCACCACCCTCCGTATATCGGGCCAGTGTCCTACTCACTGAGCCACAGGCACCTTTCTTTTGTTTTGAGACAGAATCTCTCTCTATTGCCAGAAGTAGAGTGCTGTGGCATCATAGCTCACAGCAACCTCAAACTCTTGGGCTGAGGCGATCCTCCTATGTCAGCCTCCTGAGTAGCTGAGACTACAGGCATACACCACAATGCTCGGCTGTATATCAATCTTTTATTACAAAACTATAAGCATGCAGTTCTATAACTTAACAATGTCACACTCTAGCGTTGAAAGAGTATTATTTCTGCTGGATCCTGTACATGGGTCACTACAAAAGTTTTGAGAGACACTGGGCTATGGTCTACTATTTCACTTCCAACAAACACAGTTGAGACAGCGCCCGTAGCTCAGCGGGTAGGGCACCGGCCCCATACACCAAGGCTGGCAGGTTTGAACCCAGCCAGGGCCAGCTGAAACAACAATGACAACTGCAACAACAAAAAAATAGCCAGGCGTTGTGGCAGGCACCTGTGGTCCCAGCTACGTGGGAGGGTGAGGCAGGAGAATCACCTAAGCCCAGGAATTAGAGGTTGCTGTGAGCTGTGATGCCCCTGCACTCTACCCAGGGTAACAGCTTAAGACTCTGTCTCAAAAAAAAAAAAAAAGAAAAAGAAACACAGTTGACAGTGTCCTTTCTTTTTTCTTTTTCAGACAGAATCTCATGTCACCCTGGATAGAGTGCTGTGGCGTCACAGCTCACAGCAACCTCAAACTCTTGGGCATAAGCGATTCTCTTGCCTCAGCCTCCCACGTAGCTAGGACCACAACGCCCGGTTACTTTTTGGTTGTAATTGTCATTGTTGTTTGGCAGGCCCGAGCTGGGTTCAAACCCGCCAGCCTCAGTATACCTGGTTGACGCCATACCTACTGAGCTACTGGCGCCACCTAGCATTCTTTTTTTCTTTCTTTCTTTTCTTTTTTTTTTAGAGACAATCTCACTTTGTTGCCCTCCAGAGAGTGCCATGGCATCCCAGCTCACAGCAACCTCCAGCTCTTGGACTTACGCTATTCTCTTGCCTCAACCTCCCAAGTAGCTGGGACTATAGGCACCCGCCACAGTGCCCGGATATTTTTGTTGTTGTTGCAGTTTGACCAGGGCCAGGCTCAAACCTGCCACCCTCAGTATATGGGACCGGCACCCCATTCACTGAGCTACAGGTACTGCCCCAGCACTCATTTTTAAACTTGTTGTAACTAACACACCGAAACTCCTTTTTAAAAACTTAAATTCTTGGGCAGTGTCTGTGGCTCAGTGAGTAGGGCACTGGCCCCATATACCAAGGGTGGCGGGTTCAAAC